GATTTCTTAAAGGTTTTAAGTCCAAAAGATAAAGTCTGAATGATGTGTGCTGTTAAGGCAACAGTCTGGTGCGTTTTTACCTCCATCACTCTGCTTAGATCCCAACGTTGTCCTACTTTTAAACTGAAAACACTCTTATATGTTATTTTATGTCATAAGAATTGTTAGAAACTTGTAATATACTGTAAGGTTACGTGGCATTTTGTGATTGTCATGTTTCTCTCTCTTGCCCAAAGCTATTCTAACCTCTGTGTCCTTAAGACTCACTGCATGCAGGCAGCTGAGCAGTTTAACAAGGCTTATACTGAGGAGACATTAGGATTTGTAACTGGTGGAAGGCTGATAGTTTAAACAGGGTCTGTTAGTGATGCCCACAGAAGCAACAAGAAGACTTACAGCCTGCTAATAACAGCTTGGTGAGACCGATCTTGAAAGTGGGAACTGCTCTGAATATTCAAGTAGGAAAGTTAGCTAGCCAAGACTGGAGGATGCAAAATTGTCACTATGGTGTCGGCGTTACAGAGGGACCCACATCAGCAGGAAGTGGGTGAATGCATGACAGTCAGACAGGAAGTCGTATTTAGCTCCACTCCACGGCTGAGTCACAGCTTTAGCCTCTCTGCTGGAAAGCTGGAGATGCTCAGACTCAAACACTCGTGCTTATTCATGCACAGAGGGGAACGCAGATTGAGTGGCAGTCAGTGAATGAGCTAAATAGGGAGACTGTTGCAAAAATAAACAGAGGATGAATAACTGAAGGGAATAGGCTCTTGGAAAGATGGAGAGATAAAAGGACAGGTGGAAAAACGGGCAGGTTAGTCAATGAGTAAAGCAGAAGAGCGGAAGGAGTCAGGACTTTTTCTTAAATCATGAATCCAGGTTTGCTGTTGTTAGGGAAAAAAAGATTTAGAGTGTCCAAAGATTTAGAAGCAGGAAGTGTCAGGAAGTTTTGATGATTAGAGTTATTAGTTTGATGATTTGCCAAGCAAAAGGTTTCCAAATGTTAAGATGGTGATAAAAGCATGTTTATTTCAGACATCTAAGTAACAGCAGGAATCATTATTACACATCCAAATACAGTTGTGCCATTAAAGAGAGTTCAAGTGTCCCTTTTAAAAATTATTTTAATGGGACAGCCAATGACTGTTGATCAGCGCTTTGGAAAAGATTGGATTTAAATTTCTGGGTTCAAGTTTTGAGCGTCTTTGTTAAAATGATTAGCTGGTCATGGGACACAGCTGAAAGCTCCAGACAAAGTTGCTCACTAAACCTCGAGTTTTAGAGCATTTTAATGCTGGTTTAGCATTCACAAAAGTCACACTAGCTCACATTAGCAGTTGCAAAAGTTAGAGATACCTGCTGTAAAGTTTCTTCTAAGCAACTGCAGCAGCAGTTTGTTACTGTTTTCTTTATTTTTAAATAGTTTTTAAGCAGCGTCAAGATGTTTATGGCCACATAATTTAATACACTGTGTGCTGTAGACCGTTAGGGCAATTAAGCAGGAACATGCTTGTAAAAAATAATTACAAAACTTTCTACCTGCTAATGGAACAAAGGAATCAGCGGTCAATTTTCCCAGGTGAACTTATCCTGGAGAAACCAGGTTTCCCTAATACTCTACCTAGTTATGGAAACCTGGTTTCTTATAAAGGAAAGTCAATAAATCAGCTCACTGGAAAAAAAAAAAAACATTGTCACATGGAGCATGTCTTATAGTTCAGAAGCTGCAGGATTGGTTTATGCAAGTGTCACGTATCAAGGATTTCATTGAACAATATGTAAGAAGATGTGTTTATTTATAAAAAAAAAAGTAATTAAGAAAAAAAACTCATTCAACCGACCTCACACACATTCATACAAAAAAAAAGTTACGCTCAGGCATCTTATCTGACGTTCACGGGCACTCGTGGACTGACAGACACATCGGAGGCAACTTAGGGTTCGGTATCTTGCCCAATGATGCTTCAACATGCAGGAGCAGGGGATCAAACCAGGGCTCGACCCACCCATCTTCCAGCTGAAAGAAACCGCTCTACCACAGTTGCTATATGAGATGACTTTGCTCAACCTACTGACAAATCTCATTCAGTATTGAATTTGCTGTGCATCTGCAAGCTGCTTTGCAACCACAGACAGTAAAACACATGGGCACAGCTTCTGGGTCAGAAAAATGAAGCCAGTGAGGAAGCACATTAATCCTGCATTCTATCTCCAGGCCACAAGATGGTGATAGATGTGGTTCTGATTCGACCTTGTTGGACATTTTTCTGCTGGATGCATGAGCTCAGTCACTCATTTTGGATCACACTGAATAAAATAAACAAGTCTGTTTAGTAAATCTTGGTCATAAAGTGTTTCAAAATGTAGGATTAGCTGTGATATGAAACCGCATGCTCATTGGCCAAAGATCTGTCGATCAGAGGTTATTAGCCAGTTCGCTGTTAGACCATACCCTTGTTGTCACATCGGTGTTTTTGCAACCAAGATGATTCTGGCAGAGACGCTCATCTTGAGGCTTCACAAACCAGTAGCACTATTCATGCTGGGATTTTAATCAGCTCTGTAGTCACTGATGTCTAAAACAGAGCCATGCCATCAAGTCTTAATCATGTTAGGTTCGTCGCATTTCCTTTGTTGTTCTGCGCCTTTGAGCTTTGCATAATTCATCTTTATCTGTTGATTTTTTTGTAAATGTTTAGTTTGGGCATCAAATATCTGCCATTAGTTTTCTGTTTGCTCTCTCAAACAGATCAAAGGTTTGTAATTCTGTGTTGTTAAGTGCCTGGAGGCATAATTCGTACAGGCTGCTGCAAGAGGGACACAGCTGAGGGAAGAAAAATGGAAGGAGGGTGAGCTGGACTCATCTGACTTCCAAATGTGAAGGAGATCTGTGTTTTGAGTGCTTGGTGACAGCTGTCAGTGTCAGCGGTACGGCCATGTTCCTTAAGTTTGCTTTGGCACAGGGTGAGTAATAGTGGGCTGATTTGGCTCCAGTTTGTTTATTTGCTTTCTTGACTTATTGGTTTTTAGTACCGCAGTCCTCTTAAAAGAGCTTCATCAAGTGGCACAATTTCATTGTTGGACATAAATTTTAGCAGCAGGCTGAGCCCGATATGACTGTTGCTCTAAAACGAGGCTGATAGCTTAATGGGATGGGTGAGAAACGGCGCTGTATGTCATTAAGGTAACCAGCTAGGTGCCTGCTGCCACCAGTGACTCACTGGATTCATGTTCTCACACAAAACACATTAGGGAGACGGGAAGTGCACTAGAACAGAGCAGCAGGTTTCTCCGTCGTGTCTGCCGTGAGCCCGTCTGGATTAAAATGTAATGCATGTACAGGAGTCATTATGGTGATGATGAAACTGAAAGCTGCAAAGTCTTCTCCACTTGTTCAGCTGAGATGAACTCATCGAGTGTTGCTTATGCCACTTCTCAAACACCTGCTGAGTCAGAGGCAACTTTAAACAGTGGACACTTGAAGTATCAGCAATTGTGCGACAGGAAACAAAGAAGAGTGGAAACAACTACCAACTTCAGGCAACTCTGTGACATTAATTGTATCCTATTTTAGAGTAAACGTTAATATTAAAAGGGCAAATCAACAGAGTTCTTAATGCATCTTTAATTAGACACTATTTATGTAAACAGTCTTGATTTGAAATCTCTTTATAGTGAAAAATATTCAGGCGGTATCAACCAAAAAGCATTGTTGGGAGAATTGGACTTCCACTTGACTTTGTTTTACTCGCAAATTTGCCTAAACTGCTACCTGAGTTTTGAATTCTTTTCTTAGTCCTATCACCTGAAGTGTTGTCAATGCCTCTAGCAATTGTATGAGAGTTTTGTAAGCTGAGAGAATTAGACAGTTAGATAATATAGAAATTTAGAAAAAGAAATGTAGAAATACATCTTTCTAGTACTGGGTGTACTCCCTTTTTTTCTTTAGAGCTGCCTTAATTCATTGTGGCAAAGATTCAACAAGGTGCTGGAAGCATTGCTCACAGATTTGGGTCCACGTTCATATGACGGCATCACGCAGCTGCTGCAGATTTGTCGACCGCACATGATTTGAGCTTTGAGATGCAGTGTGTTATCCTGCTGCAGCCATCAGAAGATGCCCAAAACCTACCATCCAAATGTTGCAGCAGAGATCATGACTCATCAAACCAGGCAGCATTTTTCCAGTCTTCTACTGTCCAGTTTTGGGGAGCCTATGTGTCCTCTTCTTACCTGTCACCCAGTCTGGTCTTCTCCTGCTGTAGCCCATCTCCTTCGAACTTTGATGTGTTACAAATTCAGAGATGCTCTTCTCCGTATCTTGGCTGTAACAATCGGTTATTTGAGTTCCTGTCTGTTCAAAGCAGTCTTTTCTCCTCTGACCTCTGGGTATCAACAAAGCATTTTCCCCCAGAGGACTGCTGCTCAGTGGATATTTGCTTATTTGCACACCATCCTCTGTAAACCCTAGAGATGGTCATTGGAAAAATCTCCGCAGATCAAGATTTCTGAAATAGATCAACCCATCTGGCACCAACAACATGGAAAATCACTTAAATCATCTTTCTTCCCCTTCCTAATGCTCACTTTGAACTTCAGCAGGTCATCTTCACCAGGGAAGTGGCCACTAGAGAAACGGCAGTTCCCACATTTTCTTCCTTTTTCACCTCCAAAAGTTGCCTCCTGATGCAAATACAGAGTTATGGTTGACACTGTGTCTCACTAAAGTGACCTGAGTGAATGTTTAATAGAAGCAGTAAATCATGTTTGTGTTAACGAGAGTTGTGAGAGGAAAGCACTGCAGCCTTTTAAGAGAGACTTGAAATCATATCAAATGATCTGCCTTCACATCGCTGTCTCTCAAGAGCCATAATCTAATACTTTATTGCCATGTCAACAACATGATTGGATTTATTGTTTTATTTAATTTAATGCGTGTCAGGTAAAATTAGTCTTCCCACCCTCCTGCTGACCTTCTTGCTGCTGTCTTCCTCTTGCAGGTGAAGGGAGAGGATTGAAATTCCACGGTGTTGATCTTCTCCAGCACTCTCCGTCCCCTTCCCCCTCTCCCGGGGACCCTTTCCCCCACCAGCCCCACTCCCTGGAGCCTGTTACTGACACACCGCACCAGAATCTCCCACTGAGGAAGACACACTCTGACCTCGACACAACCTTACCTGCAGGTGTGTGTGTGAGACCATAATAGAGAGCTCTTTACCCTCCCTCCATGGTGCAGATCTTATTACTCCTCACATAAAGTGTGCCGCAACCTTCAAAGACAAGAGAAAGAGAGAGAAAAAAAAGAATCTGGGAATGTCAGAATGAAATTCCTATACTCATGAACTTCTCGTATTTCAGATAAAACTCTAGTATTGCTGTTAGTAGCACTGAACAGTTCTTGGCTGTGGAAAGACTATCATTTTTTCCCCGCCCACTTTAAATACTCTTTAAATAAAAGAAATGTATGCAATAGCAGGACATTTTCTTTTGTTTGAATTATGTTTTTTGTTCAACAAACATGACAAATGTGTGTTTATTTTGTCATTGATTATGGATTTACATACTGTTTTAAAAGAAAAATGTTCTCCTTTCTTGTTAAAGCATAGTCACGCAGGCCTAGAGACAGGCTGGCCCTTGACAAACTCAGCAAAAGCAAAAACCTGGACTGCCCGACTGGTTAGTGAGTGGTTGCTGGGTTTTTTGAGGTGAAACTGGCTGTAAAAACCTACTTGTGATTGCTTCGGTTGCTAGCAGTTGCTACTGTTGCCCATAGTTTACATGGAAGACACAAACTTGTTTGCAGATATTAATCCTTTAAAACTGGTCAGAGTGGGCACGCTCCATTTTGCGTAACTATTTTTAAATCCCTGTAGAACCGAAACCCTGTAAGCTGGCACAATAATTTGTTTTGCATATGAAACCGGAGGAGTTGTACTTACATCTTATGCCATCAGTTTGCCCTAGGTCATGGTTTCCTTCCACATATAGCTTTGCAAAAATTGCATAAAAAGCACTTGTAGCAACAAAAACATAATATTCCAGAAACAGGCTTTGCCGATCCGATCAGCTGTTCAAAACACTTCCTACGTTGGAATAGACATCAGCGGGAACTAATGCATGCTCCCCATTACTTGCCCAAAACTGGAAGTGATGTCATTTTTGCAGAAAATGTAGTTTTTTACCTTCGGGGCCTTATAAGCCTATACTGGTATTTTTAAGAGTCATGTTGACTTTATGCTTTTCTGAATAGTTTCTGGGATGCTTAAAACTCATATTGCACTGCTGGAAATAGTTTATTTTGATGCACATGCTGTTTTCTTTGCAAATTTGCATTATAATATTTATTTTCATTTTTCCTGTAGTATATAAAAATTGGTGTATCTCAAAAATAAAATTATGAAGACACTCAAAATAAATTTCCTGTTGTTGGAAACTTTTTTGTGCAACTTTTTTGTATTTACAGTTTTGAGGGATAAACCTCTTAAAATTCTCTAAATAGAAATGTAAAAAAAACAAAAATGATTTTAAATTTTTTTGTAGTTTATTGCACTTTTTTGCAATTTATGTAGTTACTATGGACTTAATGCATACATATTATTAAAATTTGGGCTATAACAGTTGTATTGATGTATAGCAACTTGAAACGCTCCCAAAAATGGCACTACAACATGTAAAAATATAAAGATAAGCTCTGGCAGACTTGGTTCTATGGTAGGTCTTAAAGGGTCAATGATTTGCTCCCTGAGCTGTAGTGAAAGTTGAAAATTGTGATGTAAACGGTGAATGGAGAAGGTTCTTCTATGAAGCTGGACAGTCTTCATTTCAGTTTCACTTCAGCTTGCAGAACTAAGTGAAACCGCCTCCACCAGCTAGCAACCAAAGCAATCAGAAAGAGTTTTTTTGCAAGTCAGTTGGCAGAATACACATTTTTCCGTAGTAACGGGTGGTTGCCATGGGGTGACTAACCAGTCTTTTAGCCTGTGTGAGTGGGGCCTTTTTCACTCATTCCCACAATGTCACCAAGATTGTGACATCCAAAATGGAAGTTAACATGTTAACAAGTTAACATCACATTGTTAGTTGTCACACATCTGCAAAACTGCAATACCACTTTGTGACCAGTTTCCCCTAGTGACAGCTAGCACTCCCCAGCAACCGCTTGCCAACCAGTCAGAAAAAGACCCTTTTTCAAATGATTACCATGGGATTTTGATGGTTGTTACTAGCCTACAGCACCAACACAGAGTAACGCTAGCTACCACATTAAAAACAATCTACCATAAACACAATATTTAAACTCAAAAGAGAGCTAAGAGTTATTTAGCATTAGCTTGCTTGTTTGATTGTTAACACTAATAGCAAAAGTAGACTATTAGTTAAGCTTGTTTGCCTAATACTTCACCAGCTAATTTTATTGGGCTATCTGGTATAATGTTGCGGATTTTAGGCTATAATAAATAATGTACTGTAAATCCCGGACTACAGAGCGCACCTGATTAAAAGCCGCATGCTGTAATTTTAGAAAGAAAATCAATTTTGTACTTGTACAGGCCGCACCGGATTTTAAGCCATATGCATTTCACTTGTAATATGAGATATTTACACAGAAATATAACACGTGAGGATTTTTAATGTTTAATTTATTCCGTAGTGTAACATAACCATGGTAACATAAACGTTATGGTAACATACAAAAATACATACTGCAAATGCTTTTTTTTCCTCGAACAGCACCTGTAACACGGCTACCTTTAAGTATACGTACGTATCGGTAACACACAAATTACGTTGCTTATGGTTTTTTTACGGAACGGTGCACAAACAACATTACAACGTTTCTTAACAACACGTAAAAATATATACCGTATATTTACTGCTTATCTATTTTATTGGTCTACTGTTACCAGGCAAATTGTTTTTGGCCGCATAAAAAAATATATGCATTAGCCGCACGTCATTATAGGCCGCAGTGTTCACAGTGTGGGGAAAAAAGGGCGGCTTATGACCCGAAAACTACGGTAATGCCCCAAAGCAAAGGTGTATGACTAATGACTGCTTTCTGCAGTACGGCCAATATACAAAGGTAGTCAGCTATCTATCCACCAAAGGTTTAATTAAGCAAAGAAAATTACACAAACTAATGCTGAATTAATAATTTATTTCCCCTGGATTTGCACTAATCAATGTTTCCTAGTGAAGAACAGCTATGCCTTTAGCCAGGATCTTTTCATTCCTTGCTGGTTTATTTACTTCAATGAGGACATTTAAACACAGGGCATCAAGGGTTCATTTAATCAGCTTCATCTGAATAAGCCCATAATTTTGGTGAGACGAAGACAAAAGCAGAAGAAGCCACATCTGACATTTAAAAATGTGTTTCAGTTGTTCTTGAATTAAGAACTAATCCTTTGTTGCAGGACGAATATGCATTGTTGAGAATGTACTATTAGGCCTATGTAACAAATTAAAGGGAAAAAAACTGACCCCTCAATCCTTACAGTGGGTGAATGTGGTGGGTTTGTTGCTGTGAAGGGGCATTTGGTTGGCATGATATGGTAACCTGTCACACCAGATAACTTGTTACAGAACCATCTGTGAAGCCATACTTGCAAAATGGCACGCGTTTGAAAGAACCATCTGTCTATTAACTTCAGCCAGTCAGTTGAAAAATCAAACTCTTGCCAAATCCAGTCAAGTGAAGATGAAAAACACCTTTGCACATCAGACAGTGAAGAAATGCTCTCAACTTTTCAGTTCTATAAGTTATGATTTAGCATTTCATCTCGAGGAACAGCTAAAACATGTCCATAGATGCTTATTTGTTCTGTGGTTATACCACAGCACATAGCTTAAAGCGTGGAATATTGGATTCTGACCAAGTTCTGGTGTGATTCTATCTCACTTGTAAAAAAGAATGTTTTTGATCCGCTTTTCCTCCTTAGAAGGAAAGGTCAGAGAAGTTTATATATGTTTTTCTTGTTACTATGTTGCCTTGTATGTATCTTTTAAGCATGGAGGTTTGTTAGGCAGGAAAGTATGTCTGTGAAGGTGCTTGGTCATCTCGGTCATTGTAGTGTAAGGAGCATGAAAAAGAAAACAGTCTGAAAGAAAGAAGTTCTAAGAAAGAACTTCTTTCAAAGAAAGTCTGAAACTTCTTTCATTCAAAGAAGAAAACTGGTGGAGAATCCCAGATTTTAAGCCCTATGGGAGTGTCTCCAAGAGGGTCATGGACTCCCTATTGATCCTCTACCTAATCACACGAGCCCGTGTGAAAACAGGTGTGGGTCACAATCAGCCAAGGTTTCGGGTAAACCCATTGCAAAACCTAGCCCCACTCTATCACGTGATATCCTGAGGTCAAATGGCCCAAGTGTCTGGGAGCGGATCTCAAAACTGGATTATAGATGGCAGACAGTTGGTGTTGTAAGTCATCCCTTCTGTTCAAAGATGGTAGTTCACAGTGGACAGATGGCTTCTTTCACTCCTGTTTCAAACCATCTGTCTTCTGTGTCCAAAATGTTAACATTAGCATCCTCGAAAGAGTGACCTTTGTCCTTTAGATGTAGATGGACACCTAAGTCTTGTCCCGTCGAGGTGGCTATTCTCGTCAGGCAGTAAACAAATGATACACACTGTGTATGGACTAATGCCAGAGGCTACAGATGTCAAGGCAGGTTGTGCCTTTTCTGGTCAGAATAGTTTTCTGAATGGGTAGAGCTAGAGATAGATATGTGATGTTTAGAAGTTTTTATTATAACCTTTTATTTTAGAGTGTCCACAGTCAGTGGAATTTGGTGTGATTAGTTTTGGTGTATTGATTCTTTCCCTCTCTTCTCTACAGACAACCGTTTGGGGCTGCCTGCCCCAGATCACCTTCACCCAGAAACTATGGACCATTCTGGGCTGCTCTGCTCAAATACACCCACCACTTCCTGGAACGGACCCAAGGGTTCCACCTTTTCTCCTGGAGCGTGGAACGAGCCTTACAATTACAGTAAGAACAAAGGACCAGCGGTACCACCCAAACAGCACAGTATCATCGGAGGAGGGACCCAGGAGGGGGTGATGCTGGTGAGCTCAGGACATTCAAGCTCATTCAAGACTGTGACAGACCCTTCTCGGAGACCATTGAATAACATGGACATAGGGAAGCGGAGTGAGACAGAGGGGGCTGCAGTTGATGGAGGAAGAGGGGGAGGAGGGGAAGCAGTGAGAGGACGGGAGAGGTCGGCACGTTCCATAGCAGCACAGAATGCTTTCAAGTTTCGAGAGCGTTCCCTTTCCACACCCACAGATTCTGGATCTTTTTGTTTCACAGAGGGTGTTATAGGCCATCCGGATGGTAATATAACATCTACAGGAAATGGGAATACTATGGACCACCAACAAGAGCATCACAACTTCCTCGGCTTAGGTGAGAATTACGCCCTTCTCTACCCTAGAGGGAGCTCAGAAGACAGCGCAAGTACAACTGACACAATCTCCGTCACAGCTTCAGACTACAGCACAGAAGGCCGTTTGCGCCTACGTTCCCGCTCCATCTCCCTTAAAAAATCCAAACGAAAGCCACCACCCCCTGTGAGGAGTGTCTCTCTTATGAAAAACCTTGGACAAGCTGAGGGCAGAATACACCATCAAGGTGGTCTTTACAGAGATGGCCGACCAAAGAGCCTGCACATTCCCAGGGATCACTTCCCTGACTTTCAGCCAGATTTCCTTCTGCCCAACTTGTCTAAAACCAGTATTGGTGAGCGAGAGCCAGGCCAAGGAGGGAATGACAGACCTCCAAGTCTAGAGGTCCAGGCACCAGAGAGGGAGGGGGAGACAGAAATTACTTTTCCCACGCACTGGCAGCTAGGGGAGTGGAAGAGCAATGATCCATACAGGTAGGAAACTACACATGGATGTTTAGTACTTGTGCTACAAAGTTATTATTATTGTGTCATCTTTATTATGTCTTCTCACATCATTTCATAGGTATCCTGGATGTTTTGTTGTCAAACGTGTTTGGCAAACTTTGATTTAGCAAAAAAACTTCACATCTCTTCTGTGCTCTTCCTCAGGTCTCTGTCAGGCTCCAGCACAGCAACAGGTACTACAGTGATCGAATGTATGAAAGTCAGAGGTAGCTCAGAGTCCCTTCTTGACTCTCCCTCCACCTCGAGAGCCACATCACCCTTACAGCTTTCCATGGAGACTGACATCAAGGCATCATCCCCCTTCAAACCTCCAGGACTTATGTCCCCATCAAGTGGCTATTCCAGCCAGTCAGAGACTCCCACCCCAACTGTTCCACTCAGTCATCTGGCAGGTCAGGGGACTGTGGGTACAACAGGTACAATAGGTTGTAAGATGCGCCCCAAAATCCCAGAGAGGAAATCATCTCTACCATCACCCAAGGATCCAGCTGCTAGGTCTAGACTGTCCTTTGAAATGCCTGGGAATGCACATCTGGAGCTTTCGTCCATCAAGCCAAAACAAAAGGCCAGCCGGCGGCATTCTGACACTTCGACAGCAGCAAAGCCAGGAAAGATCAGCCCGAGTTCCTCACAGGCACTGCCTATGGTTACCCAGAACGAGCTAAAGACTGTTCGGCTTCGTTCAGTTTCTCGTGGAGACCTAGAAGACTGCCCTGATGGAGCCTCTGACACCATCGAAGAGGAACAGCATGGCCGCGATATAGGCGAGGATCCCAGCCCACCACCCACTCTACCAAAACCTAAACCACCTGTAGCAGTCAAGCCTCCCTTACCTAAACGGCCCATGAACCTTCTTCTCAAGTCTCCTTCTCCTTCCTCCACTTCCCCTCTGGCGCTTGACTCGCCTCCTGCCTCACCTGTAGACCGACCTGTGCCTCTAGGCAACATCTACAAAGTCATGAAAAAGCCAAAACCCAAAAAACCTCCACCACAAGCTCCAACAAATCCCACTATTCTGTCAGATTCAAACTCTATGGCTGCTCCACAAACTGCCTATGATCAATCGTTCCTCCCCCTATCCCAGTCCCTGTTTGATCTCCCTCCTCTCCCAGACCCTCAGCCTCTCCTGGAAGACCCAGTTTTGGAGCCTGAATTTGATGTTGACCAAGAGATTCGTCTTGGCCCCGAAGATGGAGGCTCACTCCCTTCACCTTGCAGCAATCAGGAGGCCCCAGAACTTCAGGACAAGAGCAAGACGCTACCCTCAAGAATGACAGTCTCCTGTCTGGCAGAGCTGTCAGACAAAAAGAAACCCAAGGTAACCAAATTAAATATATTGTTCTTTTACACAAGTCATGGTTAAACATCGAGTATCTTCTAAAGGCAAACAATTTAAAAAAACATATTCACAGTTCACAACTCTCCTTATTTCTCATTCTTTGAAACCTTCTCAATCCTTTCCAGGTTCCACCTCCAGTCCCCAAGAAGCCAAATGTTCTGCTTCTTCCCACCTCAGTCCACTCCTCCACTAATGGCAGCACAGACCGTCAGACGCCACAGACTGACAGCCCCGTGGGCCTTCGGTCTCCGGTAGGAACATTCCCACCAGATGATATTCTCAATGCTCCCAGTGTTCCCGACATGCCTGAGCAAGATGAGAACCACTTGGGAACAGATGAAGAAAGTTCCAAAGAGTCATCACTACAATCCTCTCTTCAAGATTCCTCTCTCACAGAGCTGGAAGGGAAGATGGCTGGTACTGGGATAGGGACAGGTATGCCTTGATGGGTCCACTTTATTAAGCTTTAAAAGTTGGTTTTCACCGAATGGTGGTCTCATAAGACTCATAAGACCAGATAAAAGGGCTTTTATGCATCAATTTATTTTTTTAAAGATGAGACACTACACACTACATGTAAGGCAAGGCAAGGCAAGTTTATTTGTATAGCACAATTCAACAACAAGGTGATTCAAAGTGCTTTACAGAGACATTAGAAACAAAAAACATTTTTGGCCTATTTTACTTCAATAACATTTCTTCTGTCAGACTACTGGAAAGAAACCACCGAAAATGTGTTTTTCTACTTAACATTTATACAAAGCTGTTCGTGTTTAATACAAGACTTACATCATTTGCACATTTTAATCCAATAGTCTAAAAACTTTTAAAACAAAAGCACCGTTTTTAAAATATTGTCTCTTTTTCAATAACTGACTGAGGAAGTGTCATTGTGATATAGGTTACATTTTAATAATTGTTTTAATATTGTAAAATTTTACATTACATGCATATACTTACACACACCAAAAAGTTCTAGTTTGATTCCCTTCTATAGTTTGACAGAGGGATTTGTTTATATACCATCCAGAGCCTGATTTGTAGAAAAATGGAAAAAGAAAATATCTTTGTGTAAAAAATTTACTTGGACAGTTTGATGGAAACATGTCAAAGTTAAGTAGTTATTTTCCCTTGGTTGTCCACACGCCTCCTGCAGTCCCTCTATTCTCCACCAGTGGTCCCTGTCCTACAGAATCGCCGCTTCAGGGTAGGGGTAGTTGTACATTCATTCAATGATGAAATACAAAAATATACCATAAATCTTGTACTGGAGTTTTCTAATCGTTTCTAATTAAAAACATCCCAACCCAAATGTTGCATTTTCTAACATATATTAGCTAATAGTTTGCTTTTAGTCTTGTTTCACTGCAGACATTGTTTCTTGTGATTTTTTTTATGTGCCTGTGTTGGTGATAATCGTCTAGCAGAGCTTCTACATTTGATTAGGACTCATACCTGCTAATTTTGATACATACCCTCCTGATTCTGCTGTGTTTTGATACAGGCCCATTGCTCTAAAATGAGCCCAAATCAAAACACAGAATGGTTCACACTGTTTTTAACAGTGAAGATGACATTTATCATCATTATTTCATTATCACCTAATTTTCTCTGTAGCCAAATCAGATTTACATATGCGTTTGCACAAAGCCAGCTGATATACACCTATCAGCTGCTTTATTAGGTATACCTACATGTAGTAGTGCCCTTTGCCTTCAGCGCTGCCTAATTTAACAAGGTGCTGAAAACATTCCTCAGAGATTTTGGTCCTTGTTGATATTATAGCATCACAGATTTGCTGCAGATTTGTAAGCTACACATGCATGATGTGAATCTCCCATTACACCATGTCCCAAAGGTGATCTGTAGCTTACAGTGGAAACCAATTTGAGTATAGTGAACTCATTTTCATGTTCAAGAAACCAGTTTGCGATGATTTGCACTTTGTGATGTTGTGTGTTATCCTGCCTGAAGAAGCCTTTTAGAAGATGGATACACTGTGGTCATAAGAAACAAGCAGTACTCAGGCAGGCTGTGGCATTTAAACAATGTTTAGTTAGTGACTATCCTGTACATCATTAAACCACCAACATCCAGAAACGTTAATTCAAGGAAGGACTCATGCATTTATGTTCCATCCATCCTTCCATTGCCTATCCTTATCAGGGTTGCAGGGGGGCTGGAGCCAGGGTACATCCTGGACAGATCATACAGTGGTGCAGTGGTTAGCACTGTTCCCTCACAGCAAGAAGGTCCTGTTGTTTATCCCAGATTCTGCCCTTGCCACCGGAATTTTGCATGAGAAATGGAAACTCATTAGACTAGACAACATTTTTCCCATGTTCAATTTTGGACCTTGATCAGTCCTTGCAAATTGTAGCTTGACATCAACAAGACATTTTCATCCATGAAACTGCTGTTCACTGGGTATTTTCTCTTTTTTGGTCTATTCTCTGGAAACTGTAGAGATGGTTATGTGATTAAATCCCAGCAGATCAGCAGTTTTTGAAATACTCAGACCAGCCCACCTTGTGCCAACAACTAGGCCATGCTCAGAGTCGCTTAAATCACATTTCTTCACCATTGTGATGCTGAGTTTGATCTTCAGCAGGTTGTCTTGAACATTTCTGCCTGAACTCAATGAGTTGGTGATTGGCTGATTAGCTGTTTGGTCATTAAAATTTATATCATCTAAGATGCATGAGAAAGTGGCTGGTTAGCATTTCTACTTTATATGTTTTACCATGATTTGTGTGCCTTGCTTAGATGAACCAGCAGCCAGTGAAAAGACTGTACTGCACATCGAAGAGGAAACAGATGACGACTTGTTGGCCAGCACACCTACAACACACACCACCGAAGACCTCTTCACTATTATACACAGGTTTGAGCACGCACACAGACACAACCAAGGCATATTTTAAACACCAAGATCGGTGCAAACTCTGATATTAGAGCACATAGTTTCCTCAGATGGCAGTTAAAGGTTAAGAAGTGCTTCACAGTTTAGTCTGTTTTGACAGGACAGCACAAATGCTTTGAGCCATCACCAAACCTGCCTGGCAGCTTTTTATAACCTGGAGCATGTGACAAAATACGCATTGTCTTGTTGAAAAGGTGTGAGACAGATGGAGTATAAGGTTCCCTAGCAACAGTTACATGTAAAGTGGGTTTGCTGCACGACCACTGGCTCTCATTTCGTCCTTTTTTTTTCCTTCCAGCGTCCCTCTCTCTCTCACACATGCACGTACGTGGATATGAGTACACACAGAAACTGACAAGAAATCTAGTCACTAAGCAACAAGTGTTCGTGATTTTTACCTTGCGTGATGCTGAAAATAGCTTAAAAGGCTCTGAAGAATAAGTGAGGATGGGGAAATGGAAGATCGGTAATCAGCGTTTTCATCCCCTACAAGAAAGAATGGAGTCCCTTCTGTAGTTACAAATTTTAGTTTTTCTATTCTCGAGAAACAAATGTCAACTAAAGTGGGACTCATCACACACGAGTAGTAAATCTGATGAAGTGAAACAGCTGCACACACAGTTTTGGCTGATAATCTTCTCTCTCTCCTCCAGGTCCAAACGAAAGGTCCTGGGTCGCAAAGAACCTTCCGACTCGTTTGGCAGTCGCCAGAGTTTGGTGTCACCGGTGAAGCACAGCACCAGCGGTAGCGACCTCAGAAATCTAACCTTGGGCAGCAGCCAGAGGTCGAGCTCCCGCAACGAGAACTTCATGGCCCTCCTTCAGAAGAAAGGCAACAAGTCTTCCAGCGGAGGAACCAGAGTCTCTGCCATGGAGCTTCTAAAAAGCACAAACCCCCTGGCCCGACGTGTCACGGAGTTTTCAGCCAACACGGCATCGAATGCCGAGGGAGGAGAGACAACGGCTGGGAACGACAAACCCAGCGATCAGTGAATGGAAGCGTCTACGCAGATGTAAACCAGGTCTGTTTGCTGTCGACAAAGCTACCAACCATTTCCATGGCCTGCCACCCTATGGGGGACGGGGCCATCTGACGAACATGTCCAACCAGATCGCTCCAACTACTGGTTGACCATTTGCACTGTCCAATCAAATTGGAGCACACCTTTGGACAAAATGGTCCCTCCCACGGTTGGAGCACTGTTGGTCCGAGTCAAACCAGCCCCTCTAGGAAAGCAAGACATCAACGGAGAGAAAAGTAGGTTCTCACAATATATTTAATGGAAGGTGGAGGTTTTGAGGTCATGCTTCTAAACTGCACTGCACTATCTTTTCCTCATTGGGAATTTGTTCAGTGTGGAGGCTAGTTGGGTGGAGCAGACCACTGGGAATGTAAAGATACACAGCAGGCATCTTTACTCCTGGGCTTCTTCCAGGTGAATACAACAAAAAAACCCTGATGACTACGGGGGAGCGTATCTGAACCTGTGACCATATTAATCCCCCCTAAAGAGGAATCCCATCAATCCACAAAACAAATGGAATAAAAACACTGAAAATACAAGACTTTAACACAATTTACCCTCGATTCTACCAAACCCCTTGAGCTAGCAGCATTACAGGTCCATCACCTGTGGACCACTGACAAAGGAAATATTCCCAAACCTTGGACCTTGTGGTTCCGTCTTCTCTCCACGGTGAATGCGACACCACAGCAGCCCTCTCAGCTCCAGACAGACAGGATTACATAAAAGAGCCGGATTTACAAACAGAAACCACAAGGCGGGGGCACGCTTTTTGCCACCAAAGATGAGGCATGAGCACACCACACGTGTTATCGCTCGTGCTGTGAACACAAACACGGACCTTCACAAAACATTCCACAAAGGCGCTCGGCAAACGGACCACATTTTTGGAACATAAGCACTTTTTTCCCCCTTACTGGTGTCGCAGGTCGTTTACACGGCGCAAACACTGCGCCGCTACCTTTTTCCTCATCTGTTACTATCTTTTCACTCTTTCTTTGGTTTCTTTTTCTTTTTTCTTTTTTTTTGCATATATTTTTTTCTTAAACATACCCAGTGGCCATATACTGTACATGTTAAACTGGATCATACTGTAATGTATCATGTACAAAGATAAATGTAACGCATCTATCAACAACTATCATCTGCAGAAACAAAGACTATAAATAGTGTACAAAGCAGCAAGAAGATTGGACTACAAACTGCCCACGCAGTGAGGGGAATACACACACTCAAACACACACACACGCAAAGACTGCCAAGCAAAATGTTACTGAAGACAAACAAACAAAACATGGAGAAAAAAAAAGAAGACCAATCTACACACAAGTGTGTGTGTGTTCATACAAAGAGTGTGCGGAGGATATCATGCCTGTGGAGTTTCTGTACGGAGAGCATGAAGCAGGCCTGCTTATTAAACAGGGTTTTTATTCATTTTGGTCTCTGGTGTTGGGACCAAAGGACTGTTAAACACTACAAACAGACCAGAGGGGACCTAAAGGTGCGTGTGTGTGTGTTTGTGTGTGTGTGCGAAAGAGGAAAGTGCCAAGAACAAAGCAAGGGGAGGGAAAAGACAGACGGGGCGAGTGCATGTATGTGTGCATTTGCAGTTTTCGTGTCTGTTCTGAATACATGTCACACAT